AAAAAAAAAAAAAAAAAAAAAAAAAAAAAATCGATTAACATTAAAATAAACGTCCAAATTCTTTTTATTTAGAACTTATAGGATAGTAAAATATTCATACCATAAAAAGAAAAAAAAAAAATTAAATATTTACAAATACAAAAAGCGAATAATAATAATAAAAAAAAAAACAAAATTTAAACCAAAGTAGTCTGATGTCACTTATAGGAGATAAATTAACATAATTAAATGTTAAATAGGTAATTAAATTATTCAACCAATTCAATCTTTGGTCTTTTTCTGGGCCGATGATCATCTTGATTATTGTCGTTATCTTCTAAATAACGTGATCCATTATTATTTGCACTAACAATATGATTCATCATTTGCATATAATCATCACTATTCATAACTGTAAAACTTGAGCCAGAAGAATAAGAATTGTCTCCAGACATAACTAATGGTATTTGATTTGACATCCAATTGTCATTAAGGTTACTATCACTGGTAAATTCTGAAGAAGAAATCAAGTTATTGTTACTCGACATAATTGTTACTGGTCGGTCGGCGGCTCCCAGTGGCCTAGAAATATTCTGGAAATTTGGCATGATCTTTAAGTGCATACAGTATCTCTCTAACATTGAAAGTAGATGCGCTTTTGTAAATGGTTTGGCAAGAATGTCATTCATTCCATGAGAAAGATATTTAATACATTCTTGCGTAGTGGTGTTTGAAGTCATACTAATAATAGGCGTGTTAGGATCAAATCTTCTTATCTGAGTTGTTGCTTCAACACCTATATATATTAATTATAATTATTAATATCATAATCATTAATGAAATAAACAATATTAATTTAATCTTACCATCTAAATTTGGTAATACGATGTCCTGAAAACGAGAAATGTAAATAGTTAAATCTAGTTCGTTCGTAAATAATATTAAATTTGAAAAGATTAAACGAATAATACCATTAAAACAAGGTCATATTTTTCAAAATTCATTTTATTAACAGCGCTTATTCCATCAACGGCAATATCAATAGCGCAACCAAAAACTTGTAAAAACTTAGAACCGATACTTTGATAAACAGCATCGTCATCAACAAGAAGTACCTTTGGAGGAACAGACCATGCCGGTACAAAAGTACCACGGTGAACACGCATAGTATTTGAAGCCCTCTGTGGAGAAGTGTTATCAATATGTGGAATACTAGAATTACCATTATTTGAAGCAGAAACAGGTAATAAATTAGGAGTCGAAGTCGATTGTTGCCTAGGTGTTAAATGACCCACTGTAAACACAGTAAGTCCATTATCTGAATGCTGTAAACTCATTGTATTGGTGAGATTCTGTGAATATTCATCTGTTATGTTAATGGTTTCTGTAGATTGAGATGCAGTAGAATTTGTGGATGTCGGTTGAGGAATAATAAAATCTTTCGGCGATGATGATTCTGATGAGGTAGAAGTATTATTATTATTAGTATCATTATTATTATTAGAAAGGTTTGGTCGTAATGGCGATGGATTATTGTGTTCTAAAGGCTCATTTGATGTATTTGGACTAGAATCTGACGAAATTGCACTGGAATTATTCAGTTCGCTAGCACTAGCAACGTGATGTATTGATTGCGCACGACGAGAAATCTCATTCATTTGATAAAAAGAAGCACGGGCAACTTCTGTATATGAATTAATAAGTTTTTGAGCTTGCTCTGAAGGTATAAATGGAGTCGGAATTCCCTCACCGGATGTACTTGACTGAATACTACTATAATTTCCGGATTTTTCTTGAGGAATTTATATAAAATGTAAATATATATATATATATAAATTTTTTTTTTTTTTTGCATCAAGTTCGAATATAGAAAACATACCTGCTTCCAAATTCACCAAGTATTGCACTAAATTCTGCATTAACTGATCTTGTGCAACCATATTTTTTTGGAAGTTTAACAAATCTTGGACAACCGAATGATAATTCTTGCTCAGAGAGTGCAAATGATCGTTCATGTTCGTTTGCAATTTGGTTAAATTATTAACCTGAGATTGAAGTTCAGTTAAATGTGTCATATTTGGAACATCGTTGATATTATTAAGAGCTATTCTTCTTTGATTTGCTGGAGTTTTTCTCTGAGGAAAAAAAATAAAATAAAATAAAATTAATTATTATCTACAATTTTTGTCTAATGCAATTTCATAAATTTTAGTACCTTGATATTATCCAATTGATCTCTCTTGTCACATTGAAATTTTGGATGATGAAATTCCCAAGCCTAATAATCATAATAAAATTATACATACATAATTAAACTTACTAGAACGAAAATTTTGAGAGATTTAATACCTGTTCTCCATATGGTGAATTCGAATCATCAGAATTCCTAATTTTATGAAAATCGTATTTATTAAGTTGCCGAACAAAACTAGCAAAGTTAGAATGCTTGAAATGTCGAGGTAAAATTGTTTTCGTAAAAGCGTTAATTTCCTATTTAATCAAAAGTTTATGCAAATGTCAACAATTTAAGGAGCATTAATTAAATATGAAACCAAAGACACAAAGTTGTTAGA